TGTGGGTATCCTTTTGGGTTAGATGGGTTTCTTGTAGACAACATAAGGTTGGATTTTGTTTTTTGATCCATTCTGTGAGTCTGTTTTTTTTTTAATTGGTGCATTGAGACCATTTACACTAATGTTATAACTGTTATATGTTTATTGTTGACATGTTATCTTTCTGCTATTGCATCTTTATCTTTCAGTTCTGTTTAATTGTCTGCTTTGTTTAGTGGTTTTTTCCTAAATGTATCTAGGCTATCTTTTAGTATTCTTTGCAGGGTTGGCTTGGTGATCATGTAGTTTTTCAACTGTTCTTTGTCATGGAAGTATCTTATTTCTCCATCCATTTTGAAGGACAGTTTTTCAGGGTACATCAGTCTAGGTTGGAAATCATTTTCCTTTAGGATCTGAAATACTTCACTCCGTGCTCTTCTTGACTTTATTGTTTGTACTGAGAAGTCTGCTGTGATTCTGATAGGTTTTCCTTTATAGGTGATCTGTCTTTTCTCTCTGACAGCTTTTAATATTCTATTCTTTTGTTTGATTTCTGGGATGAACATTATTATGTGTCTGGGTGTAGTTTTATTTTGGTTATGGCTATTTGGAGTTCTGTATGCTTCATTGATATTGATATCAGTTTCCAATCTCATGTTTGGGAAATTTTCAGCTATTACTTCTCTAAATATCCGCTTGACATCTGTTATATTGTCCCCTTCTTTTTCATTTATCCCTAGCAACCTTATGCTGTTCCTTTTTGTATCATCTTGCAGGTGTTGAATTGTTATTTCCTGATTTCTTGTTATTTTTAAAAGATCTTTCCTTTCTTGTTCAATGGCTGCAATCTTGTCTTCGAGGTCTGAAATTCTATCTTCACATTCATTGAGGTGTTTTTTTCAACTTTCGATGGAGTTTTTGTTTTCCTGTATATCTCTTTGCATCTGCTTTATATATTCTGTTTGTTTCTTATATTGTTCATCTAGGGATTCTATATTTTTGTTTTATTCCTCCAATTTTTTAGCTGTGTCTTCTTTAGATATGTTCAGCATCTCCTTCATTTCTTTTATCATTTCTTCTTTTACCTGGGAGATTATTTCTAGTTTGAATTTCTTTAAAGCTCCCCAGAGTTGCTTCTTTATGTCAGTTACTATTATTTCAGGTATTTCAGGGATGTGGCATATATTTTCTTCTATGCACATGACTCTTAGGCTTTCTTGGGATGGGCTGGATGTTTGAGATTGCATTTTGGTCTTTCATTTTGTCATTTTCCTATATTTTTGAGCTTCAAGTGTTGTTTCAAGTGAGGGAGAGAGGTCAGCCAGGCTGGGACTGAATTCCCTGCCCCCTCCTGATTCACTGATCCCAACAGGAAGCTGGGACCTGGCCCCCAGGCAAGGCAGAGAATTCTGCCAGGCTGGGGTGGGGTTCCCTGCCTTCGCTGGACTTACTCATCCCGACAGGAAGCCGGCGTCTGTCCCCCAGGCAAAGAAGAGACTCTGTATTGGTCCTTTTAAAATGCAGGGTTTGAAAAAGCTATTTTACAATATACTGGTGACCCCCAAACTACAGTTGTTCATGAGAAAAGATATTTTCAGATATTTATGTGATTGTTATATAATCATGTTGAGTATACTGTTCCTACATCTTGTACAGTTGGGACAATGTCACTATAATGATTAAAGATGATACATTAAAAACCTATAAAATATATCTATAAAACAACTACATTCTACTTAAATATCAATGTGGTAATAAAAGTGGTTAAAAGATAAGAAATTAGGAAAATATTTTATATGTTATGTGATATCTTGCAATTAAAGGTAACTGAATATGAAATCATTTCATACTAAGATAAAAATTTAAATGTGTTTCAGAAATAATAACAAAATCTGATGTTTCTAATATAATGGTATCATCATGATTGTTGTGATAATGTGTTATGTTATCCTTGATCTCAAGTTGTCTGTAAAAATACTTTATCACATGCTAATATTTGGCAGGGATTCAACTTCCATGACAATCATGCTCAGAAAAAAATAACATTCCTTGGTCATACTATATATTTCAAGATGCTTGATATCTAGCCAAGATCCTAAGATTAAACCTACTGCTCTCACTGCAATGCTGATTTAACTGGCCTCTTGTGTGTTCAACAACTGAGGTTTAGGAACCAAAGCTAAAAATATAACTAGGCTAAGAGGACAGCCAAAATTTTGGCCTTGGCCTTCCTAAGGTTAACAAAGAGCCAGGAAATCTGTATTAATAGAACCTACAACTTTGGTAAGTCAACCACCCTTCTAGGCAAGGAGATTGTTAGACAACAAAGAACAGGATTCAGCCAAGGTAAAGTGTGCTAAAAAAGGAGGCTCACTAATAAGAGAAATGTCTTCTATGTTTCCAAAGGAAATTACACGGTCAAGTAGGACTGTGACCCATGTGGCTAACAGTGACAGAATAGGTAGAGTTCTACACATGGTCACACAATTAACTTCTGGAAAGCCATAACTAACCTTGATATTTGGGGGGAAAGGATTAATTTTGATTAATACTGGTCACATTTTGACTTGGTCTTGAACATCCAGCAGAAAAGTGTAACCAAAGATACAGAGTTATAGTAATGTAGACTAGACATAAGCAGGGACTCCAGTCAGTAACCCCTCCTGGAAGTCTCCAGTCACAGTGGGAAACAGGCCTAAGACCTGTCTAAACCAATTATAAATGTCCTTACCAGTAGAATGCTCTGCTTTGATCATCTGCTTTAAAGTTTATTTATTCTTGCCTGGAGACCACCCTTACCAAACCATCTCCCCCACCTTATCTGGCTCACGTGGTCCAGATGAAGGAACATAACACAGAGAATGAACTGCTGCTCACAGAATTTGAAGAAGTGTACAAAGGTATGAGAGGGGGAAATTGAGCCCCTGTCTTTTCTATCAAAGGATGTAAAGAAGAGTGCCTCCAACTTAAATTTTATTTCACCATAGGCTGTCCTCCTCCCTCCCATGCACCAGGGCTTTATTTGTTGCAGTTATAAGCAATGTCTGCATCCTAGCCCTTGCACCAAGGAATTCCTTGTGCCAAAGACACTCAGTTCCCTGTGCCCTCAACCCTTTTTAGCAACCCTGCCCACCAACCCTTCAGTTTTTTTTCCTTTTGGAATTCTCTATAGGCAGCCCTCTCCTCTTACTAAAGTCATAAAGAAAATTTAAAGGAACTCAGAAACCCCATTCTGAGACAATGGAGGAGACATTAGACTCATCCTTAGCCACCCTACACCAATGAGTTAAGGAATGACTGCCTGTGAGTTTGACAGGGACACTCACCCTTTCAACCAGGGAATGCTATATGAGTAAAAGAATGGAGTGTCCAATACCTAAAACCCTTCTGGAGGGGACCATTCACTGTTATGCTATCCACCACCACTGCAGTAAGGCTGATCAGATAGCCCCCTGGATTCACCACAGCAGAATGAATCCAGAATCTCAAACCTGGGAGTATGTCCCAAATGAGCCCAGTGGAGCTGAAGATCTGAAAGATGCAGATCTTGGCTTCAGGAACATGACTGAAAGATGACAGCCCTGCTCTAGTCACTCCAGAGGCTGACTAGTCTACAACAAAAGCCTGAGGATGCCACTGACTAGCAACACAGGTAGACTGCATCTTGTTTGTGACTGTTGCTCTTAACTGTATTAGGGTCTCCAGCCATGCTTTTTACCATACCCTAGCACAGACAGTAGGCCAGATTCTCAAGGTCTCTTTTTCCTGTGTATGTGGGGAAGTAACATGTGGAATTATGGTGTGGGAAGCTAGAGAGCTAGTTTCTCATAAACCTTATACTGGCACAGCTGTACCTCAGGGATTTGACTTTTCAAGGCTTTGGTAATTGGAAGAACCTGTCTCACCTAGAGGAGAGACTGGGTCAACATCTCTTAAGTTATTAAGTAACTATTGCCTACAAATAGAAGATGAGAGAAAGGTCATAGAGGCAATAACAGATCAAATGACAAAAACTGCTCACATTCCTGCCCAGACTTAGACAGGTTGAGACCCTGGGGAATTGTTTGGGAGATTGTTTTCAACTCTCCATGAATTCAAAACCCTCATAGTGTTACACTCCTGACTTGAGGAGTCTGTTTGACCCTGCTTTGCCTGGCTCCCTTGGTCATACTTTCTGTTGCCAGCTTCATTGAGATGATGGTCAAAGGAAAATGTGATCTTTTTATGGAATTATAAACCTCTGAACCACAATGATGGTCTTTGATCCAAAATAGGGTAGGGTCCAAGTATCAAAGGGTAGAAGGTGATAGGGTCTCTCTCGATGTGTCCAGACAAGTACTTTTTACAGTGTAAAGATACTGGCCTCTGTGTATGCATGTGTATTCTAATGTAACTCTCTAGTATAAATCATAACCAACCAGATTGTAGAATTTTATGTATACCCATGCAGACTGAAAAATTTTAGTGCATACCCTTTATAAGGGAGACAAAGACATAAAAATTGTATAAAAGAGCATGACTATGCTATGTTCAGCACTCAGCATTTGCATAAAAATCCATTGATTACATAGAAGAAATTTTACACATACATGTGTCACATGATATATAGACCATCTTGTGACATCTTGATCCTACAAACAGAAATGTCAGAGCCTAACTGCTATACTGGATCCTCCTGTCTATCTCACCTACAAAATCCCAAGCTTATTTCTGCACTAATGTTAATGGAATGCACATAACCTACACACTTCTTAACTGTTAGATTTTTGTCTCCGTCTGAACACTTTCAGTCTTCTAAATGATGCATTATTGGACATATTTGCACAGAAATGTTTACTAACGTGTTAAATTATCTCCTTAATATAAGGTATTATAAGAAAACTGCTATGGCAAAGAAAAGAAATAAAGGCAAATAAATAATAAACTATTTTCCAAAATATTTAAAAAGTTATCCATATATGAAAATAAAACTTTACCCATTGTGTAAGCAAGCAGACTTCATTAGATATAAGCATCAGAACTTTTTAAATAATTTTTTTTATTTTAATATAACTGTAGATTTGCAAGCAGTGGTTGGAAACAACACCCATAAACCCCAGGTACCCAGTGTACCCCAATGGTAGCATATTAGAAAACTTTGGTATAATATCACTACCAGGATGTAGACATGCATGCCATGAAGGAAGAGAGAAGTACTATCACCCCAAGAATTTTTCATGCTGTTTTCTATTGCCACACCCACCTTCCTTCTGTACTCCCTTCTCCTTCATGCCAGGGAACAACTAATCTCTCCTCTATTCTTTAATTTTGATATTTCATGAATGTCACATAAAATTAGTCATGCAGTACATCAACATTTAAGCTTCCTGCTTTTGTTGAGCAAAAATTCTTTGTAAATTTTTGCAGTGTGTTCCATGTATCAATTGTTTGTTTCCTTGTTCTTTCTGGGTAAGAGATAATCCATGGTAAAAATGTATGTACGTTTGTTTAACAGTTCACTTCCTGAATTATATCTGGTTTGTTTCCTGTTTGGGCAGTTATGAACCAAACTACTATGAACATTTGTGCTTATGTTTTTGTGTGGACACAGTTTTCATTTCTCCAAGACAAATGTACAAGAGCATGATTTCTGGGTCACAGAGTAGTTACAGACTTAATTTCATGAAGAACTGTCAGACTGTTTTCCAGAGTGGCTGTTCGATTTCACATTCTCATCAACAATGCAAGAATGATTCCATTTCTCTTCACACTTGCTAGGAACTGGTGATGTCACTATTGTTTTGGTTGATTTTCTAAGTGTTTAGTTCAATCTCATTGTGGTTTTTAAGGGGTTCTCTTCTTTCAATCACTATTTAGTCCAATAAAGCAATTCCTCACTTTAATTTGGAAGTATTTTGTATCACCTCCTATTTACTGTGTTTCTTTTATAAATTGCATTTCATCTGCTTTTTCTATATTTGTTGGAAGTTGTCTTGTTCTGTTCAGGCCTCTCTAATAAAGTAGTCTAAGTGGGGTGGCTCATAAACAATAGAAGTTTGTTTGATTTTGAACTTATTTTTATTTTGAATTTATTTTTAATAGGTCTGGAAACTGGAGGTCCAAAATTATGACTGGGTTCTTAAGAATGTCTTTCAGACTGTGGACTGCCCAATTTCCATCTTATTCTGATGTGGAGGCAATGGAGCTCTCTGGCACCTTCTATGGGAACTGATCTCATGCATGAGAATCTCAACCTCTTAGCCTAATTGTCCTCTAACACTCACCTTCTAGTTCTTCACATACGAGTATAAGGAGAACAAAAATGTTCAGTCAGTAAGTATTTTAACTGCTTAACATATTTCATAGGATTTTGTATGCTAATAATATTAATTTTCCATTTTATTTCTTGCTTCTCCCAATTTTCCTAGAATTCCTTGAGCAAGTGATGTTTAGTTTTCTTATAAAGCTTTGTCTTTAAGCTTTAGATGACCACTGTACCCCCAAAGAGGTTTCTGTTTAAATTTTTGGTCATCTCACTTGGTTGAATAAAACTGAATAGAAACCTTTTTAAACTCTGAAAAGTCTATTCTGCTGCATATGACTCACAAATTTTACTGTATTTCTATTAAGAGATGCTATGTTTTATGCATTATTTACCTGTAGTAGCACATTATTTGCTAACAATGATTTATTAATTCTCTCCAGAGTCAAATATTTTTTGTTCCAGTTATACTTTACAATCCTTTGCCCAAATTAGGTTTTGCTATACAAGTACTATACCTGAAAATGCACCCAATTAGCTCTACAGCATATGCATATATTCAAGAAGAGAACCAATATTTCTTATAGATAGATGAAAGACTAAACTAACTGCAGAATTTTCACTGTGCATAGTCCTTCTGTCTTAGACAGAAACATATGTAGGAAAATACTCAAACCCTTTACTTTTCATTTCTTCTTCTTTCAATGGGCATCAAGCCATTTTCTGCCCCCTTGTTCTGATGTGAAAAACTCCACTGATGAAATAAAAGCAGAGTAAAGGTTAAAATAAAAGACAACACTCAGTCGGGGACAGATTCACTTTAATTATCCACCCAGGGAATATTTGTGTTTGCAGTAACCTCTAATATTGATTATTAGACAATGAAGCCTATTGATATCTGTAGCTGACAACACAAGGTTAGTGTTCAGAGTGTTCACCCAAGAACCAAATAAAGGAAAGCACTAACATCCCACTGTGATGACTCAAAGCACCATGAAGTTTGGTCTCAGGAAGGATTACATTGTGGGGCAGCTGTGGAAGGGCACAATCAGCCTGCTCAGCAAATGAAGCTAGATGAATAGATTGAAAACATAGCACAAAGGAGAAATCAGTGGAGCTGGCCAAGAATGTGTAATGTGGGCTGCGTCTCCTGCTTTGAGTTTGAGAAAGGCAAACCTTGTTAGTTCAGATCCTAATTCCCCCAGAAAAAAGCACACTTGACTCTCCCAACGGAGTGAGACCAATGAAACTGATTGACTCCAACATGTGCTTCAGCAGGATTTACCTGGGGAAGGTAGAGTCTTCCTCCTTGCCTGGAGGAAGTCCTGCTCAGTGGATGCCAAGTGAGGCAAAATTCTTGCACTCTAGACCCCTGGCATTTTGAGGTCCATATAGACCAGAGATCAGCACAGAGTCATAAGCCCAAAGTAACCTATTATATGTATGTTGGGTGGCCTCTGAGCGAAGATTAGGTTCCTAAGATTTAAATAATTAAAAAAGTCTAAAGATGAACAGTGTTCCATGACATATGAAAGCTAAATGAAATTAAAATTTCTGTGTCCATAAATAATTTCACTGGATCATGGCCATGCTTATTCATTCCCATGTTATTTGTGGCTTCTGTGTGTTAGTATCAAGGTTTAGTGAGTGTGAAAGAAACATACGATCCAAAAGCTTAAAGTAGTTTACTATCTGCCCCTGTGCAGAATCAGCTGTCCAACTACTCTCCTACCCACCTATTCTATAGATGTGATGAGACATCACCTTGCTTTAACACAAGTTATGACACTACTTCAAAGCCAACAGTAATTACCAAAAATTTGTTTCTGGCGTGGGCCAGGAGGAGAACCAGGGCTACTGAGAACTGGCCATGGTGGAACTTAGGCAACTTATTTGCCCGCCCCATTAGTAAGCGCCCCTGACATGGGCCAGGAGCAGAATCAGTGCTCTCAAGATCGGGCCCTGGTGGGACTTAGTCAGTTTATTCACCTGCCCTCTTGGTAGATGCCCCTGGCCAGGAGGAGAACAACAGCTCCTGAAAGCCTACCAGCATGTGGGCTGAGAATCAACACCCCTTCCAGCAACTGAGATGTCTCAGCATTTCTTGGGAAGATGACCATATGCAATATAGCCAATGTGGGGGATTTCATTCTATTTTCTGTTTGAAGGCAAATATTGTTTTCACTGTTTTGTTTTGTTATGTTTGTTTTGCTCTATTCAATACTCTCTTTCAACTGGTTTTATAATATTCTGTTTTTGGTTTGATTTCGCTGTACTTAATGGACTGGACAACTATTGGGAAGATAACGAGATATACTATAGTACCTATTACTGCTATCTTAGTATCCTGCTGTGAAGTTCTGTACCAATTTCACTGCATTGTCTCAATTGGCTTTGTTCTGTCTTGTTCCATTCTGTTTTTACTACCTGCAAAATAAAATTTTAAAAAATGCATTAAGATCTAGATGACTAAAGGAGCAAATTATAAACAAAACATTGCCTACAATAAGAATAGAAAAGGTAGTTCCCTTTAAAATGAGAAGCTGCTTTTCTCTATTTTTATTACTAAATGCTAGGACTCACTCCATCAATTACAATTCTTTCTTCTACACTGGCTGTCACTAGTAGGAGTGTTAGCCTTATTTGTATTGGAGGCATCATGGAACATTTTTAGGTTTCTGATAATTGTACATATGGTTGTAAATAATAAATTAATATATCACAAATGTAACAATGTTAATGACAAATATTTGTCACTTGATAAAGCTATAGAAATACATATCTCATAAGTAAGAGTTTTATGTAAGATATTTATTTGGTGCTGAATTAAAAAAATATTCTTGTACTTTGAGGTTCAAAGCTTTCATACATAGACCGTGCCCCAGCTCCTGCATGCCAGTCTTTTACTTAGCAGTCATAGTAAATAAAATTAAAATGTGCATTTTAGCATAATAGCCAGTTTTGCCCTTGTATATGTCACTGCTTGAATTTTTAAATTCTCTTCCTCTTTCTTACTATAATTATGAACATAATTAGATGTCAGAGTTCAGAGCCCCTCAAGTTTAAGAAGGCAAGTCCATCTAAAATGAAGCCTTTTTTCCTGCCTTAGAAGACCAATTATTAAAGCAGCCAACAACTAACACTGTCATCATGCCTTACAACTAAGACACAAGTATTAGAAGGCTCTTTCTTAAACTGTATGGCAGGAAGACCATGGACTGAGGATTCAGGTGTGCCTGGATTTTAATTGTAATTGGTCCTTTAGTAGTTCTGTGTCCCAAGTTTGTAGTGCCTTTTTGTCTGTAAGATGTCATCCCAGACCAACTATCAAGAAAAGAAGCTCTGGTGAATAAATTAAATAGTCAAATCTTATGGATAAATATAAAGTGCTAATTATTCCTCAATAGTTTTTTTTTTTTTACCATATGCAATTTTCCATCTAAACATATGCTTCCTGGTCTCTTTTATTCTCTGAATGTGTACAGCCCAATACCATAAGCATTGTTTACATGTGACTAAGTTAAAATTTAGTTCTCAGTCACATGTGGCTAATATCTTCAGTACTGGATACAATGTACTATAAGTATTTTTATCCTCTCAAATGTGGAATAGTTCTATTGTCTATCTCTGGAGTAAAACTATGGACAGATTTAGAAACTGTCAGCCAACCATGGACTTTGTGGGTTTTGTCCTGATGGCACCCCCACTCCAAGCCTCCTGTAGTCATGGTGGAGTCTGAATCTAGCATGTGTGATTGGTTCATTGTCTAGCTTGGGATTGACAGTGTGAGTGCTGCACTACTCAGGGACAAGGAGCCTGCATACAATGTCAGGGAGGCAAGAAGGCATGTTTTTCCCATTTTGGCCTTTTCACTCTTGCAGCTTAAGGCCACCATGAACAGCTGCCCCTCAGTCACGCCACCCTGCCTTGGAGCCAGCTGAGTATGGTTTGAAACCTCCCAAACTTAAGATAAATAAACCTTTCCATCTGTAATTTGGGGCATCAGCTACTTTGTCTTGACTTCCAGAGAAAAGCAACCAAGAAAATGGACAAATTAAAGAACATTTCATTGGGAATGCCACACAATTTCACTTGTGGGTCTTTCAGTAGCTGCTATGAATATCCATGATTTGAGGCTACTCTTCCACCAGCTCCTTTTGCCTGACATGGCTGGGATAGGCCATAGTCAATAGGAAGAGGTTCATTGGTCATCTCTTGTTCCCCAATGGTGGATGGACCTGAGAAACTGGCTCCTTGCTAGGTATCACTTAAGTAGTAGGCAAAAATTTCAGTATGAAACCCACAGGTGCAAGTTTATTTTTTCACAAGTGAACTTCAACTTAACTTAGACTTACCAAATGCTAGGATATAAGAAATCAAGCATTTATAATTATTGGTGCTCCTTCTCAAAGTATAAATGCTTTATACTTTTACTTTTTAAAATCTAGTTTGAAAGCATTATGATGCTTTTGTTTGGGGACCATTATAAAGTAAAACAAGAGTTACTTGAACACCAACCCTGAAATGCTAGTGGAGTTGATCTGATAAGTAGGAAAGTTACTAAATTTTACCAAAATCAAAGGTCATTCAAGAAAGCAAAGAGTGGGGAGTGTATATATATACAGCAGTGATGGCAAACCTTTGAGAGATGAATGCCCGAACTACAACCCCAAAACTCATTTATTTATCATGATGTTCCAATACTGCAATAAAACCTGAGTGCTAAAGATTTAGTTTAGAAAAAGAAAAGATGAAGATCTTTTTTCTTGAAAGAAAAACAAATAGCACATGTGTCAGAGACTCAGCCCCACTGGGATATCGTGTACCCAGGGCAGAACGGTGATGCATATCCAGGGTGGGATGGAGAAGGATTGGCGTGGCATTTCATTATACTTCTCAAAACAACACATAATTTAAAACTCAGTAACCATTTATTTGTACAACTTAATACTTTTAGACAATGGTTGGCTATAGGAAATCGAAGCCACAGAAAGAGCCCCATGGATAAGGAGATATTGCTGGTTTTCCCTCACAAAGAAGGTGCATCCCATTTCTGAGATAGCCTATTCATTTGGGAAAATCTCCTAATCGTTAGTGTCTCCTTAATGTTCCCTCTTCTGTTTCTCCAGGATAAATCCCTTTAGGATTTCACAACGAAGTGTAGAGGCTCTGCATTTCAAAACAAAATGTCTTTTAGCCTTATAAAAATCCTAGAGTAAAGGAAAATCTATCAGCCTGGTTATATGATCAGAGAAAGGAGTAAAAAAAAATATAGAATAGAGAAGAAATGCAAAAGTAAATAAAATATTCTGATCCAATGGAAAATATGTCATTTACAGATAAAAAGCTTTAAAATGAATTGAATTAAACTTTCATTGATTAGAGAATCTCAGTGATTTGCCCAATACCATGGAGTAACCTTTTAGCAAAACAAAGTCATGTCCAGTGTCTATACCTAGGAGCAATCCCACTACTTATGTTCCTAATAGTTGCAGATCTCATGAGGAAACATAGAAAAGAAATACAGTGTTTATTGCCTGCAATATCCATCATTTTCTCCCTTTCTTCCAGACCTAGATATTTACTCTCCCTTTGGAGAACAATCTCTTCCCCACTGTGTGTCTTTGGTGGAGTTAACCTCACCTCTGACCTCTAGAAATGTCTTTATGACTCAAACACCCAGTTGTACTTTTCGGACCAGCGGATTTAATTCAGGATAAGCTCATGACTCCAATGAGTCCAATAACTCAGGCCAAAATATGTGAAGATGAAACTCTCTAAGTGAACAAGTTAATAGTATATAAATCCTGATCTATTGTTGGACAACTTGCACTAGTATATGGAACAGCCTTTCTGAGACCGAATCTGATACAGAGAAAAATGCTGCAGTGGATAAAAAGACACAGAAGCCTGAAAATATGGTTATAGTGTCTGAGTCTTAGAATAGTTAAGATCAGATCCATTAAGATATTTTCAATTTTAAAAACAAATTAATTTCATGCTTTGTTCATGCCAGGTGAACTGCGTATTGTCATTTGTAGCCACAGAGTTCTCAATAATACCAGTGCATAATAGGATTGACATTTCTTCTCACATTCAGAGGTTTATGGCAAATAGAGGTACGAAAAACAGGAACAGCAGAAATAGAGTGAAGAAACAGAGTGTTTCTCCCATATGTAACCAAGAAGCTGATCAGGAAAATTCAAGGCACAATCAAAGGCTCACTGTGCAAAGTTAATGGTAGATAAGCCCTCACCCTTCTGCTTTCCTCAAAGGATGCTTGAAATGAAATGAAATTACAATGATACACTGAATACTTGTGGAAAGCAAACAGAGATAAGTATTCCCATGGGTTGCAGAACACACATTTACTGAATCCTCAGTATGTGTTTTAGACAAGCATCTCTCAGTGGTGGCTTAAAGGAATAGGAAAATTGAGCCCGAGATTCAAACTGGAACCCAAATACAAAATTTCAAAAAGGACAAGTGGTAATGGTCACTAAATTAGAAGGAGCAAGAAGAGGGTAAAACAATGTGTACCTACAAAGCCAAGAACTTAAGCATCAGGAGGTGTTGCACAATCACAGAATGATTTGGAGCATGAACTAGGGAACACATTGTTTCCTGCAGAAACCTTTTGATGGCCGCACAGGGGCGAGGCAAGCTGCATGAATCTTTTAGTTCAGAAAGAGGCAGGTGGTGTCGACAGAGAATGAGAATAGAGGTTAATAATGCAAATGGAGGGAATGAAGTATAGTTACTTTCCTGCAGCAACTGCTGGTGCCATAGAGTACTTAGACACATTCACTGGCAATAAAGTAACAAAGAGCATATGGGAAGTGACATGTTAGAGAAACAAACAAATGCCCCAGGGAACATGGAAGAAAGACAAATTGGTTTTGATTCAGGAACTCTTTGAAGGTGTCATGGAGATAGAAACATTTGAACTGAGTTTTTATAGGGCTTTAAGAAGCAAAGATGGTTGGGGAGAAAATCTAAGTGGAGGGAAATCAAGTAAAAAAAAATTCTAAAAAGTGGAAATAAACACATTTTTCAGTACATTTCTTGAATACATGAATGCTGGACCCAGAGAAGAAGGTGGAGAGAGCAACTTCAAGCAGCACAAACCTTGCCTGGGTCAGAGCATGGCCTGCATGGGGATGCAGTGGGGACGGTGGAGAACAGTGGAAGGACACGTCAGGGGTGGGCCACGAACAGGACTATAAAGAAGGCTGGAGAAGTGAAGGATTTTGAAGCCTGAAGTCGCCATATGGTTAAAAGCAGATCAGAAGAAGAAAGAGTCACACACGGCTTTAAGATTTCTTCTCAGTATAACCAAGAGATTTTGATTCACTTGAACAAACATTAGTTCTAGTATGCTAAAGAATAATTAAAACATTTTTCAAGTGATTCATGTCAAAGATATGCCTATTTTCGAAAATCACTTACACATGAGATTATTTATAACCTTAAAATTGTTCCCATATTAAGCTGGCACAAGAAGTCTTAGGTTGCATTCCCTGGAGCTTCAAACAAGAGTCTGTGCCCCAAGATATGTGATTTATTGAGAAAGCAATTGGGAGAAGTCGCCAAGGGAGGGAAGGAGCAAGCACATGGGACAGGAAAATTGTCTGAGCAAGGCAGTGGCTTCCCTGCAGTCCAGATTCAGCTTGATCCTTGTTGAGCATAAAGCATGCCACATAGTTGATACCAGTTTGAGACAATGTCTGCACCCTTGAGGTGAAGTGTATCTTCTTGGGCACAGCAGCTCCCACTGGCTTCTCTCTGGAGAATAGCTGTGACTTTTCAATTGCCAGCACTTACCGCATGGGGTATGACACAGCATGAGTGTGCCTTCTTAGTACAGGGAGTCTGGATGAGGTACCGACTGTGCTCTCTGCATGTGTGATTGGATGCTTACCTTAAATAACCGTATCCTAGGGCATTTCAAATGAAGGATAGTTTGGTGATTTAATCTCTTTAATTGTTCCTTGTTTCTCTCCACCCCCCAAGGATGGCTGGGAGAGAATATGCTCCAACTCACATCTCTAATGGGGACATCTTGAACCAAGATCTTAGAGACAAGGAGAACATTGCCAAGAGAATGAGAGCTCTCTGAACCATCTTTCATTTCTTGTCCCAGCTTCACATTTACACAGAGCATCGTGGTCAGAACAAACCCTTTTGAGTCTGTGAGTCATACTCTGCTGCTTGTTGACATTTTAGCTTAACCATCCATTGATTTCAAATTACCAAAAACAACTACAGAGTGAGCTCTGAATAAGAACATGACCAGGCTTTGGTGCTGAAGCTCTAAGTCAATGAAGTCTACTTCCAAGTGGGAGGAACTTTAGGTAAGATTCATGTAGCTGATAAGCAAGCTTCTGAAAAGGTCAAGATAATAGCAGAGTTGCTTATAGCAAAGAATTAATGGAGACAGAAGTTCTAAAAGTTGATCACTTCATGAGTTTGTGAGTTTTTGTCATACGATAATAGAAAATAGTCTGTGCAGCTAGCACTTTGTGTTAGCAAGTAAATTCCTACAAGTACTTAAAAGAAAAAAAAAAACAGTTATGCTAACACAGAGGCATAGGAGCTAGTATGAAGGAGTTCTCACTAGCCAAATAGTTTAAATACCAAAATATTTAAGATTGCAACTTATAAGTCAGTATTTAAAATAGCTTTAAAAAATCAATAAATAAATAGGAAAAAAGTAAAGGTCTTGCTTATATATACTGCTGATTACTGATCACTCAGCAGATACAGTCCAAAGATGAAATTAGAATATCATTATTTTGCAGCCAGTATGACAAAGACCTTACTGAAGAATTCTCAAATGAGGAACATTCGATTTAAAGGAAATGTTATATTACTCACAGTGTCAATGTTTAAAAGAATCGCTGAGCAATGTTTCCAGATTAAATAAAATTAAGGAGACAGACAAATGAGACCTATGGTCTTAGACTAGATAATATATTGGAAAGAAAGTAGTACTCTAAATATTTCAAAATTCACGAGTGACTGCAGTTATGTAAAAAAATCCTTACCTTATAGGCTACACACTAAGAATCTAGAAGAGTTACTCCTTAGTGGTTTACAAAAATTATATAGATAAATGTATATTGAAAGAGAGAGTAAGAAAGAAGTAAAATATTCAAAATGTTAACCAAAGATAAAGCTGTGTGCTCATTGAACACTATCTTTGTACCTTTTCTATGTATTTCCATAAAAATTGTTTATACCAAAGAATCCAGGATTAGATGATTTTCATACTGCCAAACATTTAAAGAATTAATCTAAATTTTTCCTAAACTCCCAGAGGGTGGAAAACAAAGAATATTTTTAAACTCATTCTATATCATGTATGCAGAAAACTCTACAGATTGCATGTAAATATAAGTTTGCTTTCTTAATGCCAGAGTTTTCTGATGTCATTTAGCTTGCATGTTGAAAGTGATTGTATAGTGTGTCTAATGATTAGAACTAACAAATTTTCCAAAGTCGTAACACACAAAATTCAACACAGTTTAGATTACATGCTTCTTTATGACAGTACTCATAACTTGTTTTCATCTAAATTCCCCATGTGATACTTAGCAGAATACTATGGACTTCTATAACCTGAATTATGGATTAAATAATAATGATAATAATACGAGTATGTAATTCTTGCTGAGAACTTCCATAATTTCTAGAGCTTGTTATAAGTACTGTATACATATTAAACCATTTAAGCCTAACCGTGACTTTATGAGCTCTCTTCTATAATTAATCCTAGACACAAAGAAGCTAAATAAATAGGTCAGAGTTACTAATGTGGCAGAGCCAAGAATTAAATCCAGAAAAACAGAATCCAAAACTCTTCCTCTTATCTATTAAACTGTAATGTTAACGATGAGGCTATCTAGAGGACAGAACCATTGACATGTGACAGAATGGAAACTGTCATAGAGACATCACTGCCGTAAGACTGCATCTCACCTGTGCACTCATAGGAGACCAAGTGCTTTTAAGAACTCTGTCTTCTTCCAGTATTTCACCTATTTCTTTCTTCAAACCAGAAGCTAGATATTTACTGTCAGTCTATCCTTGAGGTCTCCATATCCTGGATATCTGATTGCACAAGCACTCCTATTAGATTTTAACTATCATAATGCTCCATCAGCTAAATTTCATTGGTTTCTATTTTCATACTTTTCGCTGAATGTACTTTGTTCTGGTGGAATAAGATGGACTCTAAACTTCTGATTATATTCAAGTCTATCCTATAAACTTTTTGTCATTTTGAAACAAAATGATCCCCCAAATCAAATTCTTTTTAAGGCAGTGAAGGGAGAAAATCAGGCTAAACAAACTATTAAGTATATTTAAGCCCTCTGTACATGACATGTCCACCAATGCTCTTTGGGTCAAAGCAATCTTTATAACTTGCTAAAGACAGTTATATGCCAAAGGCATAGGAAAATATAACTATAGGCATAAGCAGAGAATTGGAAATAGCAATCCCATCTGCAGACATCTCCAATGTCACAGAGACAGGAATAGCAGTGTATTGGCCCACTGAGGGACTCCGTGAAGCCTCAGTCCTACCAATCATCCAGACATGGATGGGTGAGATTTCACAGCAAGAACAGCCAGAAAGAAAGTATATTCACTTGTAACCCACATGCCTCAGAGAAGTCACATTGTGCCAGTTTGCATAAGGGGATACAGTTATGTAGCCAACCAACAAATAACTACCAAACACCTAAACCACAACATCTTGTCTGTGTATCTGAATCCAAAAGAGAAATGGTGTGTGTCTAAGACCAATTGACCTCCCCGAGAAGACCTGACTAACACACTTGCAACATTTATTGAACAAGTCAGTGTGTGATTAAGTACTCAACCACTTAGAAGAGCTCCTAGAGAAAAGAACACTATTTCACAAAGTGATAATTGCATAGCATGAAACACTTGCAGAGAAAGCCTTGGGGAGCTAAGAGCTTTGAAAGAGGACCTTGAATGTCCTATAGATAGAAAGAGCAGATAGAAAACCTTAGATACGCATTTCCAGAGAGAATAACCAGATGAGTTGGGAGAGATGAGGGACAATAATAGAGTGAGATATTATAGTATTGCCATTTAATACAGTTTTACAGAATTATATGCCAGGAGCAAGAAAGAGAAATGGAAAATGGCCGGGACTAACAAATATTTTGGCTGCCTTGGTCTGGGAGAAATTCCTGAGCTGTCTTTTTGAGTTAAAGTTCTATTTTCTTTGTTATTTTTTACTGCTTCAAAGCCATTTACTTTTTGACTAAACTGTGGAGGGAAACAAAATTTAAATGATTCAACATATGTCACCCAGAACTATTGAGCCTTGGTGTTCTTTTTTAAAGACAAAGCTCATGAGAGGTCTATTTTTGGTCTGAGCAGATTTCCATTTCAACTAGAGCTAGCTGGGATGCTACTTTTCCCTTCTCTTCTATTCAGCGTGGGAGCCAGTTGGGATTTTTTTTTTTTCAGAGGCCTGCTGTTGCTTAGTGTCTTAGAAGAATGCAGCATTGCAGTGTGTAGCTCTGCTCATCCAATAAATCATGACCTGCAAACATCAGCCACTGTGTCCTCTTGGTTATCACAGAAATAAGGATTCCTGTTCCTTTTCTTCCTTCCTTTGTAGCAAGGTAGCACCCAGGGATTATTTTATGAAGGAGAAGAATTAAAAGCTGCAAGATATTTTTGTAGCTAGAGTTAAAATGCTACTTTGGGATCGTGAATGTCATTTGAAAGACTTCACCCAAATGTGGTTCCAGGAGCATAGGATGATTGAACACTTCTTTGACTCCTTGTGTGGTTCGGGCCAATGGAAAGAGAGGTATGTAGCCTCAACAGCTTAGTCACTTTGCTGTTACTGACTCACAATAACCTACACTCACATTTAAAGGAGGAGAGGTTAATTTGGGTTCATAGTTTTATAGTCCATAGTCGGCCAACTCGAAGGCAGATTGGCATACTCAAAGGGCATAGTGGAGGGCAAGCTGCTCATGTCATGGTGGTCAGGAAGTACAGAGAAAAGGGAAGAGCACGGGAGGGAGAAAGGCCTCTCTGAGTCATACCCCCCATGACCATCTCTCTGGGTCATACCCCCCATGACCATCTCTCTGGGTCATACCCCCCATGACCATCTCTCTGGGTCATACCCCCCATGACCATCTCTTTGGGTCATACCCCCCATGACCATCCTCTTCCGACAGACCCCACCTCCTACCCGCAAGGCAGCTACACTGCTCCCACAATTCAGTCACCTTACTGAAGCCCTGCCTGTGAGCACCACAGACTTTGGGGGGCATGACTCATTTGTTGCAGGAAAAAGCTATGCATCCCTTTCTCATCACTTGGAAACTGCACTGGTGAGTAAGAAGGTCACCAGCTACCAGTGTGCAGCTAACACTTACATACTCCAGCATGTTGGGATGAGGAGTTGATGTGCAAAGGTGGCATGCATTTGGGTAACTGCTTAGACACTCAGTGAGTATCTCATATGCAGGAAATATACTTTTGCTGTGTTGCGGCACTGAGATCTCAAGGTTGCATGCTTTCATAATTTTACTAACTACTTTACCTAATAAATGCTAAGCAATATATTTACAAAGGTCTGAAGTACAACACTTTTCATTTAGGCCAGATAACAACAGACTGGATAAAGTAGGGCCCAGAGGAAAAACGATTTGAGTCACATGTATTGATCCCTAAGCAGCACTGTAGATTTTACTCACTTGTAAATCACTCAACATCTTATTTGGAACTTAATAATGCTTACCTTAGACACATGCAATCTGAACACTGTTTCTCCCTTCTATATTAAAATAGAAAGTTAGCAGGGAGTATACACAGAGCAATAGCCAGAGACAGCAGACCACTTATCAACTTGAGAGCCTTTTCTGTATTTCTGGTCCTGAATTTGGAGAACGTACAAGTTCCCTTTCTTATGATTTTCTAAAATATCTACTTTGTATGTGGAGAATGAATTTGCAATGTCATCTCTGTAATTCTGACCACACTGTAATTCCAACCATTTCCTAAAAAGGATAGAGTGGAAGAAAATCAAAAGCATGGTGCTGCTGATGTGAGGGAAGTTAAGCACATTAAGTGTCATCGCGCCTTCCTACAATGGCCTGCAAGTCTAGATCTGAGCAAAGCTACAGAACGCCTGAGGGAACTTAGAGCATCAACTTCTTCTTACGAAGGAAAGCTGTGATTTATAAGAAACCTTATACATACACACACTTACAGTACTGCTTTGCATGGCAAGCTTCCATATTCCTCAGTTTCTTTGAGGACTTTTTCTAAGTAAAAGTCTGTCTAGTTGACACAACCAGGTGAATAAAACTGAAGACTTAGATTTCCATCTTCTTCAGCAAGCCTGGATCCTTTTCATAAAGACATTAATTGACAGGTGATATCTGAGGGTGGTGACAAAGGCTAACAGATCACATTTGTTACAACTACTAGATGTTTTAACCTATTTCTATGTATTTAAAATCCATCTCTGCAAGTTCTCCAAACCTTGTGGTTTACTATGCATCATCCATTATTGTTTCATGTCTGGAGAGAAGCAAGGAGAGAGATAAAGCAATAGAGAATCTCTGGAGAACATAATTTTCTAATCAGGTATTTCCCTGAGTAAATGTTGCTTATGAAAAATACGCTGGTATTTAAGAAAGATGGTGTTGTTTGCTAGACACCCTATCCTTCAGAATTGCCTATGAAAGTTCTTTGACTTTGTGATGATTAAATGTGAATCTACCCTGTGTGTGAAGGGCTTGACAGATGCAATAATCTTATGATGTGGGGTTTGGTGAAGTTACTGGATCATGAGGCTTTGGCTTTAGCAATGGATTTTTATCAGTGGATTAATACTCTGATGAACCCTAATTTGATGGCATTCCTTAAAGGAAAAGGAAACAGCAGCTGAGTCCAGCCTCTTCCTTTCTGGCTCTTTCCCTTGTTCCTTATCTCCTGAATGGCAAGAAGTGAGGAACTTTCCTCTTCCACTACTATATTCTCCCTCACTGTAGACCCACAGTAGTGGAACCAGAAGCCTAGAACAAAAACCACTGAACTATCTGAAAACATTAACTTGAGTAAATCTTTCCTAGTTTAAGTTCTTTTTCTCAAGTATTTTTGCCACAGTGATGAGAAACTCTCAAACATATGCATAAAGCCTAATGTTTACATTTAGCAGGTGGGGGTTTGGAGTGATGATGAGAAAGATGAAGATAATCCATGCTAAATATAACCTACACAAGTTCCCTATAAAGACAAGGACACTTAGGCCATGACTAAGTGTGCCCTTGGTAAACAGTCCATGCTGAATTGGGAAACTTACAGAGAAAGAATTCAGTGGTGACCAATCCTTTCACAGATTGAATGTAGTCAAGGCTCCATCAGTCTATTCTCATGGTAACAGGATTAATTAGAACTCTGTAGCAGTGATTTACAAAATAGACTGTCAAACTCAATCATTTGTAAGCATATTCAAGAGTAATGAATTTGTAGCGAAGATCTTTATATTGGTTGTTCTTTTTTCTATCATTTCAAAAAATTGGTCAGCCTGAAATGATAGGACTAAGTTGTAAGTAGTTTTTAAAGTGGACCTATGAGTGTCAAACGCATTTGATTTTCAAGAATAAAATTAATCTGACCTAAGTAAAAATATAACTATAATTCAAATCTTGCTTTGTTTGCTCCATCTAGCTTTAATTAATGATTCAAAAATCTTAAGATAATAAATCAGGTATATAATATCTGATCTGCTCTTTTTTTTAAACCAAATAAACACTCCTTTTTTTCTCCTAAGAGGTATAGAGGTAAAACAAGACATCTTTCACTGCAGTAATTGAGGTCACAGTAATCTGTGTCTCGCAAACTCAACAATGCATACATTTGATTGAAGCATTAACACTCATTTCCTTCTGAAAACCTTCTTCTCAATGTGCGACAGTTACAAACTACTAGAAAAACGTAGGCGCCAAAGATTATTCTTATATTTAAAGGTCCAGGCAGTCAAGGGATTTAATACCTGTATTTTTGTTTTAAAAGGTTTTACAAATAGAGTCATCTACTATTTCTGTCCCTACAGGTGTGATATGGAATTGTGTCCTTTGCTGGAAAACATGCTGGAGACAGGAATGATATTCTGAAGGAGAATGGATGCTCGGTCAATATGTGCTTTGTTTTAGGAAACCACCAGAACTGAGAGGCAAGTAAGCAGGTGATGTCCCAAAAACAGAATATTGCTGAAGATCTATTGATTCCTCATAGCTGGAGTGATGCCAATAGAACACTATTTCCCACGAACAAAGGCTTGGTGTTCACAGACATACATATGTATACACAAGAAGTGGGATACAGGATTGAATACATGTACTTCTCAAAGTCATTTTATGAGTCTACTACCATCTTAAACCACATCCTTGCTCACTATTTAAACTTGGCAGCAAGTAGCACTGCAACTTATATCAGTATGCTAGCATTACCACCAGTCTTGATAATGCCCAGTCAAAGTCTCATTGCTACCAGAAAGAATCTATATGAGATTAGAAATGAGATTAACCAGATGCAGTTCTGCATCCTTTTAATCTCAACTTCCCGAGAGGCTGAGGCTGAAAGATTAGAAGTCATATCAGTCTGGGATACATAGTGAGACTCTGTTAAACAGAATAAGAGGCAAGAAGAATGGAAGGAACAAAGAAAGAATGAGAAGAAAGAAGAAAGGTGGGGAGATGACCTCCCACATTTATTTTTCATGATCCAGTGTCCCAGTTATGTTGAATCTGACCGTGAACACTTCTGTTTGGCTCAGTTGCTAATCTCAGAGCTAAAGATGGACAAGGGGACCTATAAGTTTCCCAACTGCCTGCAACTATAAGTGACCTTGTGCGTGTTTGTGTATGTGTGTGTTTTTCTCATGAGATGGTTGATTGCCTTTGTCAGCATCTCAGAGTAGTTCTGTGGCTCTGAACCCCAAAAGGTATAAGGCCTATGGAAGAATAGCTCCTACAGTGTCTATCATCGCAGTAACATACTTGTTCTTCCTAAAGGAGAATGTAAGAAAAAGTTGTCTTGGTCCCTCTGTAGCAACTTTTTCTTTTTCTTCTCACTTTTTCTTCTCTGTGCAATCATCTGTGACCCTCTGAGTCATGTCCCAGTGCTCTCTGGGGAAATTATTGTCTCAGAGTTGTTAATTGTAAGATGTAAAAATATATTACCTCTCCCCACAAACTCTTTTGATCTGCACTTACAGCAAACAAAGAATAAGGGCTGAAACCAAAGAATACATCTGCTAAGAGTTTTCGGCATGAGGTCTCTGGATCAAGATCAGTGTAGGGTACCTCCTCATGCTTACAAGTGATGTGTACATGTGTAGCTAATTGAGGCTTGATCTTTCCTTAAACTTTGGTGACCAGAAGGACACAATTCTAGTTCAACAGCAGAAAAATCAGCCACATTTGCAGAGAGGGCAAATAAGGGTTGGTGAATTTTCATATTCATTTTTATTCTGATCACATAACCTTATCTCTAAATTGTATAATTTTATCTCTTAAATGACCTTAGACCATATAAAGAATTACATCTGTGACCTCTCTACATAGAAAAATGGTAGGAAAAGGCCAGAAATGCTTTTCATGCATTTCCTATAACAGAAGTTCATTGTCCCTAAGGAACAGGTCCAGTAGGGGAGCAGCCAGCAGCCTTTGAGCTCACACTACACTTTTGCAGCACAGAGCAGCCTACAGCATCTCCATCAGCCCTTCCCACCTATGGACCACCTGCCAAAGGATACTTCACACTTTCCTTTCCTTACCTTCCCCCTGCCTGGCCCATCTTGGTGTTCCCTTGGGCATACCTGAGGTTCTTCCAGCCCTCTTCCCTGTCCCTGCAGCCTTCCTTTAAAAATACTCCCCTGTTTTCTGAGGATATTAAAGCCATCCCCAAATAATATTTCCACATCAGCTTCTTTCTTCTGCAGAGAAGAATGTGGTCAGCTATCTGTTGTTGATGCTGAGGAAAAAAAAAAAAAAAACTGTATAATGACACTGCTTAAGCATGCCTGGAAAGAGATCATTTCAGATAATCTCTGCAGCCTTTGCAAGTCTATGATGATGTTCCCAAAACCTAATCATCTGCCATATTTTGCCACTTTTCTGGGCAGCAGGGTGTGTGTGTGTGCGCGCGCACATGCGTGTGTGTGTTCCATTAGCATTAATGGGAATTGGGAGCACTTAAGAGGTGGCAAGCCTTTCTCTAGAGATGCAATTTTGTGCATTAAAATATCAAAACATGAGAGGCTACACACTGATGTGCACTGGGTTCTTATGATTGGCTCCATTAGCACTAATGGAATGAGGCCTGTATTTCCCTGCCACACCAACAGGACAGATGTATAAACGCTTGTGCCTCTGCAGGCCCATGCTTGTTGCCTGACCTCATCCTTGCATGTAGTCTGCTTTGCTTTTCAAATCCAGCTGGATAAATACAACAAACACTCTTGATTGACTAGAGTTACCAGGTCTTTACCCTGGATATTGGCAGTCTTTAGGGTATGGCTTTAAACAAATGCATGTGACTGATGTCATAAACCACATTATGAACATTTGTCCAATCCATTTATTATTACAGCTTCCACAGAAAACACAAAGCAAATCAAGAATATCCACTTTCTACAAAAGCAGATGCAAAACGTTGAACCTCAAAAATCTGTGCATGTTGCACTCCCATGTTGCCTAGGATACCATTTGCCCCCATAGAGATATTGTCCAGATCAATTTCCTTAAGCTTCACTTGCCTTCCTTCTCTCATGGTGAAATTTGTATTAATTGTTTTCCTTTTGGTATCTTTTCCCTCTTTTTCTTTATGATATCCTCTTTATATTAAATATTTTGTGTACTTAATATTTATTTGTACAAAAATTAAAAGAGGTACAGCATTTTAAGGAGGAAGATAACATGTTCAAATTATCCACTAAGAACCATTAGTCAGCAAGGAATAAAAATCAAAGATCCAAGGAAAATTAAGCTATAAAGTGTAGCCATTAAAATCATGGAATTAAGTATCCCTGTGTTCCAATCAGAAGTTTAATGTGTGATTTTAATCAAGTCATTTAGCCTTTCCTGTCTTCACATCTGCTAATATAATATATATCTACCTTTTTGTTACACTTCAGATCAGAAGTCTACAGCTATGGTAATGCTACATGAAACAAGCACATTAGAATTAAAGTGATTTATAATGATAAACTCATATTCTTGCTTTTGAATCTCTGGAGTGTTTGGAATTTCCTACAAGTCTGGTCTTGGCCTGACTGACTTATTTATACATGTTTGGTGAGTTAGTTGGTTAGTCTGATCTGGATAGTTATTTTAGTTCATTCAATGTGCTTTAGCAAATAGCCATAGACTAGGTGGCTAGTGAGCAACAGAGGTTTATTCTTCATCTTTGGAAGTCCCGGATCAGTGTGGCAGCATGACTGGATCCCGGTAAGGGCCTCCTTCCAGGTTGCAGACAGCTGACTTATTACTGTGTTCTCAAGTGAATAGAGCCTCTAGAGTCTCCATTACAAGGGCACTAATCTCCACCCTCATGGTCTAATCACATCACAAAGCCTCCACTTCCTAATGCCATCCCACGAGGGGTCAGAATCTCAACATATGAATTAGCAGTGGTACATCTGTGATGTTCTCCTCAGGAATGTCTTCTCTGTACTCCATATCAACCTTCATCTTCCAGCTGGCTTCCCCAGCCTCATTCTTCTGGTGGCAGAGATCCAAGAGAGAATAGCATTGGATCTGGCCTCCTCGTCTGGCAATTGTTGCACAATCATGTGCTCTGTATGTTAGTGGTCCAAGCCATTCTCCTAGGCGCAAACTCAGAGGATGAAGAAATAGAGTCCATCACTGGACAGAACTTCCTGCAAAATCACACACTGGTGTGATAAAGGAAGAATAATGGATCAGAACTACTACTCAGGAAGTCTCCCATGAACCGGGATGGGATTGGCTACTCATGTGGGATCACTTCTGACCTGGGACACAAAGCACAGGTAAATAGATAAATAACAAAATGACTTCTTATTTATTTCTGTGCATTTTTTCCTATTACATATGTCAGGACATCCCATGGTACTGAGCAATATTCCTGTCATGTTAGACTGTAACTACACACAGCTTGTGAAGCAAGGCTGGGACAGTCTCCTGTCAACCTATTTTCCAACTTTCCTGCCTCTTTTCACTTTGCATTTACTCTTATTGTCCTGGGCTTTCACCCAAATTAAACCTTTGCATTTAGTTCTTATCTCAGGGTCTTTTTCTTTTAAAGACAACTCTAGTGAAGATAACTGTATTTATTGTTAGCTTGCACATATGCTAAGTATAATAGTTGTGTAAATTATGTAATGAGTCAATTTAAGATAATATGTGTCCAAATATTTGTCTAATCATTGAATTTTATTTGAATAATCTCTGTACAAATAATGTGCATTTGTGGCTCACTAATAAGAAATCAGCAATACTTGTGATTAAATAATAAAAATGATGACATTTGCTGTGTGACATATAAAGCAAGCAGGGAAACAGGTACTGAATGGAAGATGGACTTCTCTGAAATCCACAGTTAGATCTGGTTTTAAATAGAACTTCAGTCAAGTAGCTGAGGACATTTTGCAGAGTTGGTTCGATGAGTAGAAAGCAATTGGCCTGCAGGGCTGTGTAGCTCCCCAGTACAAACTCCAGAGTCCACGTTCCAGAGGACTCTCAGCTTTATTTTACAGAATCTGCCTTTCCAAATGGGACCCAGTTGTTCTTCTGCGTTAGCTTTACTTCATATTCCTCCTTTCTCACATTGTAGACAAGATCTAAAACATGTCCTCAAATGGAGAGAAAAAGGAAGCGAGAACCAACCTTTTAGCCCACACAAATGCACTAACATGGAGGTGGAGGCTTGGCCCCTTCTCTCATGGTTTCCAGCCTTTCACACACTTAGGTTTTTTTTTTTTTTTTTTTTTTTTTTTTTTTTTGGGGGGGGGGGCTAGATAATGGGTCAATATCTTCAACATCTGACCAGAGACAGTTGTTCTCGAGTTGGAAGTAGTTTGTGATAGGCTGAGCATTACAGAGTCATAATGCTGTACATGAAAATGTATCTGTTAAGCAATGGTTTATTGGGAAAGTGTACAAAGTGATGGAACATGACTGTAAGAAGGAGATCAATCTGGGTGCAGATGTGGGTTCCTATCTTTACTAACCCTGAGATCTGTTGTAGGATTGACCTTTTCTTTGTCTTATACTCTTGGACTAGTGTCCAAGGCAGCTTCACCTGAGGTGAGTGTCCATGGCAGCTTCATCTGCAAGTGATTTATTGGAAAATGGCTTCCTTCTATGAAGAAATGAGGGAACCTTAGAAAAAGGAGCTGAGTGATGGAGGAGAAGCTTTACTCTAGTCCCAAGGGATCCTTTGGAGTTGATCTTACCTCAAGGCAAACAAATGGAGCAATCTGTTAAAATTATGAAGCACATCTTCATTTGTGAAATGCAAATAATGTACTCCCTTTGGCAGCACATATACTAAAATGAGAATAACGCCTACAATACCAGGCATTTTGGATCCTAAATTCTTGGTAAAACACTTAGTAAAGTTCCTAGTAAGAATGTGGCTGCTGGTGGGATGTTTACAGTAAGGATTGCTGTTATCATTGAAGACATCAAACAAGTCCTGTAAGGGTCACTTATCTCATCAGCCCAGTAGGATTTTACCTTTATGCTGCAGGAGACACAGAAACTATACACAATGTGCTTACCAGGTCGCTTCACACCCATGTGGATTCTGAATGCGTCAAACTCTAAAGTGAATAAAATTAAAGTGAATGATGACAAGGGAAAACCACTTTGCCTAGTTCTTTAGAGGAGTGTGGCAAACTACAAAGGATCAGATGATTGGGAGGTATTCTTCTATTCTTTCCTACAGAAGCAAAGTTGAATTAGAGATACACTGCCGTACATTGACCAGAATGAGCTATTTTCTTTTTTTAAATTTTTGATTGACAGTATCTTAAAACTCTTCATGAAGTCTCAAAACCAAATCTGGTCAATGGTGAAACAAAAGGTATGCCATGTGCATAGTGATTGTTGTAGTCAGGGACTGCAAGGAAAACAAGACAACACAGGACACAAAATCCATAATATTATTTTATTATAATCACCCACAGTCAAATATAAGAAGTGCAAGAAATCTGTCCACATACTAAAGATCTAGAGAATTCAGCTGAGGGCTGGATCCCATGGCAATATCTTGCACGAGTTCAGTTAAAAGCCCACAACCCACGGCAATGGACTCTAGCCATGGACTCCCATGAGTCCAAATGGAGACCTAGAGCCCAGGACAATGACTCATGCAAGCCTGTTTCACAGAACCACACTGGGAAGGCTGAAAGTTCAGCAGTGCAAGCCACATCCTCCCCCGCACCAGTGGGGTGAAGGATCTGTGACAGGAGGTTGAAGGTTCTGCACTAGAACCAAGAACCTTTAGCCTTACTTTGAAGTAACATTCAAAGTAAGGACCCCCTGAAAAGTACCACAGCCATCCCCAGTAACAATGAGGTCCCAAGCTCCTCTGACAATGAGAACAGCTAAGTTCATATCAGGAAAGAAGCTCAACAAGCTCCTCTAGGAGAGCAAACAGCAACAGGAGAACCAACAACACTTTCTTTCACTCCAGTTCTCCCTTTTATGCTGGCAACAATCCTCAAGTGGACCATCTACACTGAGAACCATGCTGATTCAGTACAGCTGGTATTATTACAAATTGATCACCATTAATCAATCCACCACACTGATCTTCTTTCCTGAAGACTTTCAGTGGTTTTCTTTCTTTGTGTTCTTTCAAATATGTGTTTGTTAAGTGCTAGAGATTGAATCCAGGCCCTTTCAATGCTCAACGATCATTTACTACTGAACTCCTCCCCAATCCTTTCTTCTAATTATGATTGTCCACTTTGTTACCAACAAAGCCACAACAGTGCCTTCTATTGGAAGAGTAATCTCAAGCTGCTGAAACCCATTTTTGCTTGTGCATTCTAAATTAGAAGTTCTGAGAATTTCCAATTAAGCTGACATTTTAACTGGTGCCTGGTTGGTGCTGAACTATGAAACTGGAGTTCCTTTGCCTTGAGGCAGGATGAACTAAGTCACTCTACTCAGGGTCAGACTGAAGCTGAGAATTGGCCAATAAGCTTTACATTTTCCTAATACCTTTCTTCTTCCCTAAGAAGTTTTCTTCTCTCTGTCATCTGTATTTCATGGAGGTGCTTCCATATTAAACTCTTTCCAAGTGAATCTTTGTTTCTGACATCCTAATCAAGAAACTAGCACCACAGGACTTTCTAAACGATTATAGAATCAAGGCAAATTATAAAATCAAGCCATAATAAAAATGAACATTTTCTGTGTGCCTTATTTATCAGAAATTTTGGGATGTAATATGCACAGGCTATGCTTATAGGTAAGGAGCCATGGTAACAAGTATTAAGTGACCTGCTCAGAGTCACACAGATTATGGCTAAGTACACTTTGATTCAAGTTATCTTGATAATAAACTCTGGAAACTTAACCAGCACATTACCCCTAACCCTTGAACTTGAAACTGAGAAAGTGTAAAAGGAGATCCCTTAGTTCTTATTCCAAGAGGCATCCATTTCAAACTCTGCACTGAAACAGTCCAAGAAAACTCTGTCTTTGCTTTTAGATGCTCTTCTAAGTGAACTCTGTGAATGTTTCTGGATTTCACATCATATTCCCTGGAGAAAACTTAGACTGAGATTTCTCATTCATTTTTATGCTTGTGTTGTTTAGATCTTCTCAACTGTCACTGCTGGGTCTCAATGCAGTTCTCCACCAGGGAGTGGTTTGTAAAATTATCACCAACAATAAGAGCTCATCCAGCAGAAATGTAATATCCCCAAACCTGACCTTCCTGAAGTTCAAACGACAGAATCATTAAACTGAGAGGAAATCTATCTGCATGAGGTTGCTCCTATTGGTTACCATGAAGACCAGAGTTTCAACCTGCCTCCCACGTGTCTTATAATGAGGAAGAAAAGAAACAAAAGCAAGAAAGTGGAAATGAGCCTGGCTCAATGGAATTTAGTACTGCAAGCAATAGTTTATCTTCAGTCTTTCCTCATATTGTTACCCTGGACAGTACCCCCACCATCTCCTTTTTGAACCCCTGTGTAACTCCTATAATGATATTCAGCACAGCAATACCACTTAGCAATGATTTCAAAGATTAGCACTCCCTTGGTATTCTTCCACTGTTCATGAAATATATTTGAAAGCTGCCAAGCGAATGATCCTAAACAGGACCAAACACAATTTAACACGCAAAGAGTTAAGATGCATATCCTTTGAATCTTTCAGTGTTTCTTTGTTCTGCCATTGCTGACATGTATTACAAGTAACAGCACATAAAAGTGTTTTGAGGCCTGTAACAAAGACTTATTATTAAGTGAATTGTTACATACCTTGAATCTTAAGAAAACACCAGTATCATTCAAGCTGCAGATGAGTTTCCCTCAAGAAGCATACAGTCTATATGGGAGGTAACACTTTTTTTATTGTGTGAATTTATTGAATTCTATTGATTGTGTATGTTTGCTGGCTGAAGACATTAAAACAAGACTGGTCAAGGTAAACGTTGTGAAGAAAATCAGTGTTAAACAGCAGCCTGCTGTGGTCTGACAGAGAGGAACGAAAAAGGGACCCCATGCTGGGTTCCTGCATAAACAACAGCATGGCAAAAGAAGTTTACAAGACATATCTGTACACAGTGGGCAATACAGAGATTCTAGTAAAACTTTGGGATATTTTAATTCAGGACTTTTATAAATGTTTGTTTAAATGTTAAAGTCTTTCTTTAATAAATACCTATTTTTTCTTGTCATTAGTTAACTATATTAATTAGCTAAACATGTGTGATAAACCAGCATACACTAAGAGACTTAAAGTAATGCCCATTTTATTTATATTTCAGTGGAGAAGTAATTTAAGTAAGCTTTAGTCAACTGAGTGTTTCTTCTGTTTTTCTCCTTTGGGATCTCTCATGCAGCTTGGGTCTTCTGACAGATGAAGTGGGATTTGTGGTGTTGATGGCTTTGAACCCATGCCTTTGTTTTGCAGCTAGTGGAATCCATGGGTTCATTCCAGTTGGGGTGCATACTCTATCCTTCTGCACTAGCGCTATTCCTCCAGACACTCTTGTTTCTTCTAATCTGTACCATCTTGAACCTGCCCCATGGACGCTGCTCCTCTCTGTGTTGTGGGTAAGACTCCAGTGTCTTGGAATCATGGCTCTGAACACAGGCATCCTATTTTTATGATACAGAAGAAATTCTAGGTGGATTTTGAAGTTAGTGGTAAGTCTAGCCTATCTATACAGCTTTAAAATTATCCTTTAGTTCCAGTAATACCCTGAATCCTTAGATGAAAAGGTGGCCAAGAGGCAGGATAGAAGACAAGAGACAAGGAAACTCAATGTGTTGTTTCTTATTGCTTTAAAACTCTGGGCCAGATCCCTGCTTAGTTCGACACATAAGAATGTTAAACATTTAGGAAAAGTTGGCAAAACAGAATTTATTTGCTCTAAGTTTACCTAGTCTGACTCATGTATCTTCAAGACTGAGAGCACCAAGATAAGAGGCATGTAGGGACATTCAGCTACTCCCAGAAGACCCCACTGCTGTAAATTAGGATCCCTTTGAATTCTAGCAGAGCTTAATAGGACTCTGAATATAATGCTGAAAATAATTATCTTATCATCTTACAGGCACTGAACTCACTACTGAAATATGAAGATTTCTCCAGATTTATGGAAACCAGAACTGAAATAATAATTGATTGGATCCTTGTCTACCTCACTGAATTTCCTAAAACTGATCTCCTGCTTTTGCGGGTGGACCATTCTGGATCCTGCATTAATGTGTGCTGCCTACAGATACTATTTACCTCTGCCTAATTAACCCATCTGCACCTTCCACTGACACAGCCTGAAATTTTCTTCCACCACATGAATCAAGAACCTACTCAATGGGGTGAGTGTAGGCTCCTATTTCTTCTGGATAGGACCTCCTCAAACCCCACCTGGTGAGAAGTGGACTGTCTTTTTCATGTTTTACAGTGAGATATGGGAGGAGTTACTGGGCTTGGCAGAATACACAGAGTTATGATGCATCTGGGTAACAATGGTGACACTGTTTCCACAGTGGGCACAGAATGCATCTGTGTCTTCCCGAGTCCTAACCTGGGTCTGAGAAAGGCCAATATCTTTATGTGCTCCATTTTTCTCTTTTTGATTTTAGACACAAAATGAACAGTATACCAGTGACACCTTTTCTTAACACCTACAACATTATTTGTCAGTATTTGAAAGTGATATTTATTTTCATTTAGTTACAGTAGTGAAAATTTATTTCCTTAACCTTCTATTTGAGAAAACTTGTCATTTAGTGGCCTGAACAAGCTGAAAATGTTCATATGTTTTGTAGTGCATTGAAGAGATTCTTCTAAACAGAACTTGTATGCTTGTCTGGGTACCTGCCTATAGCCAATTTCCCAAAAGAGTGGAGAAGACTCTCAATGTGCTTTAGAAGTGTTTCCCCATTTATCTCCCAAATGGATCAAATCCAGAAGGAAAAATAATATATTGCCTTTAAAAGTAAAACAAAAAAGAACAACATTAGCATCTGTTTCTGTCCCCTTTTCCTTGATCTTTTGGTGCATATGGGCCTGACATAAAGATGCCAGCATTTGTACCTCTTTGCCTGAGGGCTTTTCTTACCACCACACTCATCTGCCCTTGCACACAGCAGGCTGGAAGGGCTGGAAAATTAACAGTTCCCCAAGAGCAGTTATCTACCCAGGACTGATAAAAATAAAGCATTGCATGCAGTCTTCCCACAACCAGTCTCTGGTTCCTTCTGCTGGGATAGCTCTGAATTTTGAATTGTAGGATAACATCCAGTTATCCAAAAGGATTAAATCCTAGTTACCCACAATGACACTAATCTTGGGAATTGACCCCGTATCACCTACTATGCCATCTTGGTATTTTCTGGGATTACCTGTCAAACCATTTGCACTCAAATTTTGGTCTAGAATTCTGCTCTGAAAGAAGCAAAACTAACACAACTTGTTTAACTAAATCAGATCTAATCTTCAGAATAGAAGATCCAGAGCTCATCCCACACAACCACACTCTTTTTCTCTATTTAGACTTCTGGGATTATAAATTAGAAAAGACCAAGAGAATTTTGTTTTAAAACCCTTATTCGATGGGGAAAATTCAGGCTTGGAGAGGTACAGAACTTGCAGATGTCAAGTAGCTTCTTCAGGTAAAGCAAAATATTTATTTTTTTGTTCTCAGAATATCACTGTCTATGCTAAGGCATACCTGACTGATTGTTTTAGTAGCATTTATATGTCTTTTCTTATCAAATACAAGCCAGTTAAAACAATGTACTTCAGTCATGGAGACAGATTTACAGACAGCAGGACAAATAGAGCAGAAGAAGAGTTGGGGGTGGAGTAGAGAAAGAAAAAGACAAGGTAAGCAGTGGTTAAGTGACAACTGTGGTTCTCAATCTCTGTAAATATGTAGGAGTCTTTAGAATGACAGAAGGCTCAGCCTCATCCCTAGAGACCCTGCTTTAACTAATTTGGTGGGCGGGCTCGGTATTCCGACTTCAAATAAATTTGACTCATGTGCCTCTGGGATTGCATACCACTGGCTTGATGAAATAAACCCTATACTTCTTGTTTAGATAAGGAAATCATGTTACTTCAGGTAGAGGCTCTTAAAGACAAAAGAAAATTCAAAAATCTTAAAAAAAAAAAAAAATGAAGGAATGCCTGGGGATTTAGCTCAATGGTGTAAACACCTGCCTGGCAAGAACAAGGTTGTGAGTCTAATCCCTGGTACAACAAAACAAAACAAAACAAAACAAAACAAAACAAAAACAACCTAATAAAAAGTGAAAGAGTTCCAAAAGAATTTGTAAATATAATGGCATGTTTTGAAAACTTACATTTAACTAGGTAACAAGCATAAAGAGTATTATGGAACATAATTCACTAGTAATGGCCCCCAAAGATGTCTACACCTTAATGCTCAGATCCTATGAATCTGTTGCCTTATGTAAAACATGAGAATTTGCAGTTGTGAACACACTAAGGACCCCTAAATAAAAAGATTACTGGATGACTGGAAGGGCTCAATGCAAGCATGTGTGTCCTTCCAAAGGGGATTGAGCTACTTGTAATGGCACAGTCAGCCATGCCAGTGACTGGAGAGGCTGAGGCAAGCCTGGGAAATATGAGGCTAGCCTGGGAACCTTAGTGCGATCTTGTGTGAAATTAAAAGGGCTGGGATTGTGCTGTGGTGCTGGACCACCCAGGTTCAACCAATCCTAAGCACTGGAGAGGAGGGTGAGTTGGAGAATGTCAGCCGGGAAAGGAGATGGGTGATAGGATCAGAGGCTGGTGGGAGGCCATGACTAGAAAGGGGCCATATTGTGGAATGAGGCCACCTAACTAGAAGACAGGAGACAGATTTTTCCCCCTAGATCCTTCAAAAAGAATGTAGCCTGAAGCTTGCTAACACTTTGATTTTGCTTCCTAGGATACATATCATACTTTTGGTGGTCAAAATTTTAAAACAATAAATTTGTGTTGCCTTAAGTCACTAAGCTTGTGTTTCATTGCTACAGCAGCAGCAAACAAAACAAAACAAAACAAAACAAAAAAACAAAGCAAAACAAACAAAGGAAAAACAATTCAGGTCTCCCAGTGTAAGCTCCTCATGAGACAAGGAAGTTCTTTCACTTGAGTCTCCCACTCCCATCCTTGAGATTAATGCGTCTAAGGATGAGGTTGAAACTGGGGATTAGAACACTGTGCCTGGGCTGCCCAGCCCAAAGGGCCCTGGGGAGTTCAAGGACACATGATGATGCTGCAGGTGATATATACCAGCATACCTGTCATCATTTACCTAGTCACAGTGCCCTCAACAGAGAATGAGAGATTCTAAATGACCACTTCCTGACTAATTCTCCCAATTTTTGCCCATTCAATTAAGACTTGTTAACCTCTCCTATTGTGCTTGGCAGTGGACATTAACCTAGTACAAGGTGGGATCAAAATATGTAAGTTGTAAAGAAATGTGTTGTAGTAAAAGAACACACTGCCATTAATCCCCCTCAGAGAACTCCTCCTTGCTTAGCACATCTGTCCCATTTCTGGAAGTGTCTTTGTTGTTCTGTTGGGGTTGCCTCGGGGTCCTGGATTGATCCCAAAAGTTTACCATTCATGGTCATTTTGCCTTTGAAAAACAGCCAGCTAAGCTTGCATTAAAAAAAAAAAAAAGTATGTAAATATTAAGTGTGTCTATATTTGCATATTGTTTGGTGAAGTTCAAGTTTAACTGAGCATGCTACAGTTTTATTTACTAAATCTGCTAATCCTAAGTACAGTGGCTCCAAGCTGGTATTTCAGAACATTTTATTGTGCTGCTGATTAACTTGTTGATACATTTTAAGAATGCCTTATTTTTATAATTCCTTTTGTATGTTACTAGGTTGTTTTTGCCAGTGTTTTATTGAGGGTTTTTATATCTCTATTTATAAGAGTTACTGATGTGTAAGTTTTGTTCAATTTTTGCTTTTGTTTTTCCTTATAGAGCCTAATGAGTTGCAAAGGGCTCCCTATTTTTCTCCATGTTAGAAGAGCTTGTGAAGTACTGTATCTAAAAGGTGCAGGCCTCACTAAGCATAGCCTAGAAAGACGATTTTTGGAAAATTAACATCATCATCTTATGGGAGATTTTTAGATAGGTAGAATCTCAGGCATGATCTTAGTCCTCCTTAATCAAAATTTACTCACAAGCAAGATCGCCCAGGTGACACACACAGACAGAGTCTGAGAAGCCCTGGCATAGATAATGGAACCATGGCTTGTTGAAATTTGATTGTATACACCCCATTAAACAAGGCCCTGGGGAATGTATGAGGTTGTTTCTTTGGTCTCTCTTGCTGTTCTATTCTCTTCAATTGCAAAGGCAACAGGGCAGCTAAAACATTCTAACCTTGCCATGCCCTTGTGTAAATTATTAGCTGAGCTATATTAAGTTTCATCGTACATAATGTTTCAGTGGCAAGAAACAGAGAAAAGGCATGTTTTCTCCCCCTCAAGAAAGTTGTTTTATTATTTCTAGAGAAATTCCACATAAACTGGCTTGAAAGAGGGGCTACAGCCATTTTGGCTGCTTCTAAAAGAGATGCTGAACCCCATTTTTAGTGTTTTCATAGGGCAAGATGGAAGGGGAGATTTTGAGCAGCAGGTCTTACATTATTGTATACAGGTAAAATTTCTGTGAATTATTGAATATATGTATTGTTTCAAATGCAATAGCAGGTCATCCCAGGGTTTTTGAAGGACAGCCCTGATGGGTAACATCAATGGATACCACAAGCTATTGTAATTCTGGTTCTCTGTTAGCAGAGCATGATAAAAGGAGTTGAAGTCATGTGATTCATTGAAGGGGGAGCTCTCAGGCAAAGGAAAGAGAAGGAAGCAGGGTGAAGAGGGAAAGGGGATGCTCAGTGCAGAGGAGCTGATGTGATACAGTGGGACCCTTGCTGCTTCCTCATTGCACAGGAGCTCAGCACTCTTCTGAGGTAAGGGGACTCACTTTTGGTGTCCCTGTATCAATCATTGGCCAGTAGCGACTTCCAGGATAAAAGAGCTCCATTAGCTAAAGATACCTGTCTGGAGAAAAGACTCCTATGGCAGCCAGCACAATAGGTGAGGTATGGGGTCCCAGCCAGAAAAAAAGTTGTAGATGGCGCCCCAGGTCTGCACTGGGAGTGAAGGGCAACTCAGAGGCATCCACAAATGCTAATATGGGCCCAGAGGTCAGTAGGACCTAACAGCCTCAGAAGAGACAAAAAGCAAACCAAAAATTCCATAAAGTTTGAAATAGGAAAATATTATACTGTTTTATTTAAATATTTATTCTGCGTGACTAGGATCTATGATGAGTATAGGTCCACACTGGATTTTTTCCTACACCTTTCTAAGTACTTCAATATTGGGTGTCACTCTTTGGGTTTTTGTTCACACATTGCCTGAAACAAGGAACTGGCTACAGGCGACCTCAGGTAACACATGTGGAGTTGCAAGGAAAATGTTAGACAAGGACGGGAATTTGCTTATTTGCAAGGCCCATAAAATGGCAACAACCTTTTTCATTTGCTTGAAATTAGCCACCATATATTTCTCTTAAATAAACATCTTGTGGAAATTTTTCACCTCATGAATTTTCATAACTCGTAGCAAATGGAGACAGGCCTTCGCTTTGTGCGAAGAGCTCTACAGCCTGCTTTCCATTTTTACCATATAAAAAGGCAGCCTTTCAATCAGTGTTGCTCGGCATTTATTATTTACCATTGTATAGCATTTTTGAAGGAAAAGGAAGTCATATTTGCAAGGAAATGTGCTGGATGATAAAAAGATAAAGCATTTTGATAGGCAGCATTTCCATTCATTTTGTAGAGTTGTTACAAAACTGAAGAGTTGGCAGCTTACACAAACCTTAGCTATAACGTCCAGGAATAAGTACATTGTCATCACAGCTATATAAATGACAGTATCATCATATGCTATAAATTGTCCAATCAATATGGTTAATAATAGAATATAAGCACAGCAAATGTTTAAACCCTACTCTGAATAAAGATCTGCGCTGTACTCTGCGGAAGAAACCTATCCAAGATGATCAACATCATACGTTGCTCTTGAGTTTGGAGTAAGTAGGCAAAGACAATTCTATCAAAGACAAATGTAATATTTGTTCCAAGTGTAATGGTTACACTTTTTATTAGTCAAATTAATAGGAGGTGCAGAATTTGAACCACAGGTGGGAGTTAATGTTGGTCTTTTAGAGGGAGATAATCAAACTTGTAGAAAGGAGAGCAACACTGCCATTCCTATTTTCTTAGAAATATTTAGGATTCCAAAGACAGGGGTAGTTTAAAAAAATTCTGCCATGTGGGCTAATATGGCAGTATTAAGTTTACCCTAGTTGAAAAATCTCATTTTGTTGCTATGTGTGAAAAAGAAGACCCTGTTTCTGAATGTTCAGTGAGGGATGGGGTCCAGAGGGGCTAGGTCATAAAGACATGAGTTTACACAAATCTGAGAAAGAGAAACAATATATCCACCAGTCATGGGCAAGCAGTAATAACATTTCACATTTTAGGTACATAATGACCGGGAAATATTCTACTTTGGCTCCTAGGGATTTAAAAGTATGACAGCAAGAAAACTACTGCAAAGGTCATTGTTATTGTGCACATTTACATTGTCTGGTGAGACTCATTATTCAAAATCTAAAGTTCCAGAACCAGATAGGCAGTAGAGAGAACTCTGAATGCCCCATAGGAGCCCACAGGTGCAGGAAGCCCTCATAGAGCTGTTCGTTCTCAGTTTGCCTTCTCAGAGGTGCTGGAGGTGGGGTCATCTGTAAATGTCCCACTTCCCTATCGGTCTTTGGCTGCTTTGCCTCCTGCCTTCCTCCTACTTCTTCTTTTTCCTATTCTTTCCTTCTCCCTTCTCTCTCTCATTTGCCCCTCCTATTCTTTTACCCCTTTTTATACCTTTCCTTCCTTTTCTAATTTCCCGTCTTTGTTGATTTTTTTAAATAAACATCTTTGCTATTGGGAAGTTCCTGTTTCTCAAAACATTTTCCCCTCTATTTGCCCAGATCACCGTCTTAGGGAGACATCAGGATATGTGTATTTGCCTTGTGGAACTTTCCTCCCAGTTCTACCGTAGCTTCCACGTTTCTCCTCTCTCCGAGCACTCTTACATATGGCTGAGGGATGGGAAACCAGGTTGCAAATTTGATCAAGAGCACTATATTTAGTACTTGTATATTAACTTCATTTTTACTACTTATGTCTTTCTTTTAGGGATGGAAGAGGAGCTAGCTGGGCAATAATAACAGAACAGTCAAATCTATTCCATGTGATGGATAATGTGCAACATACAAGGATGATCTTGCTGGGATTTACCACCTGCACTAAAGCTACACCTGGCCTTTTTGCACGGGAATGTTAGAAGTGTGCCCAATTTCTGCCAGTTCAGAAGTAACAGCACTAGACACTGAGTCTCCACCCGTACATTGCCTACTCTACTGCTTTGTACTGCTGCACAGTTCTGTGTTCTTGCATGTGCTGTTTAGTTTCTAATATAGCATTCTAGTTAACTTTTCTCATTACTCAATTTTTAATGTTAGAATTTCCAAGCAGGCTAGAAGCTTTGCTCCTTTCCATTTATGAATTCTTCATTCCTGTAGGAGGGCTGGACATCCACAAAGCACCATACAATCTTTCACTGCCCCGCAACGTAGGGGCCTCTCTTCCTGGCTAAACTCCTGACCTCAGGCTGATCTTTATGCCAAGTCTGCACTCATCCCTTCAGACCCAAACATGCCCACAGCACCTTCTGGGAATCACCCTCTCTTCTCAACACCCTGACTCTGCCCCAAGAAAAATTTGATGCTTTCATAGGGAATCTTGTCCTCTCTCCATTTGAAGGTTCCAAGGACAGTTTCTGCATTCTCCCAGGCTCCATATGTTCATTCATACATCTTCATTCCTAGCATCTCCTCCCAAGGCTTGAGCTGTCCTTCTTCCCAATCTGGTCACACACCTCTGACTTTTGGAAGGCTCAAAGCTTCCTCCAACACCTGAATTCCCTTTTAACCTTGCTGTGTCTGCCTCCCAGGATTACCCCACAGACTAATGTTTCTCCCAGCAGCCTGTAGAGACCAAGGGGCTTCATAAGCAACCAACTGTATATTAAGACCCCCTTCCCTCCAACAATGATACTACCTACTGGAGATTCCCAGATTCCACAAGAGGCTTTAGAAAGAGATTGCTTTTGACACAGACCCATGAGAAAAGTGGAAGCTTCACAAAGCACACTTAACCATGAGCAAAAGGCTTCTGAAGCATTTGTGCATAATTTCCTCTCTTAAAAAAAAAAAAAAAAAGACTAATTCTCTAGGAAAAGCTGCATGGGGACCACTTATTACCATTTGCATGGACATTGCATTTCCCCCTTGCTGTCTCTGACCAGCTCTTGAGAGCTTCCCAAATTGCAGGGGTGGCGGGAGGGGGGGAGGTTTACCCCTGGGACAGAGGGATGCAAATGAAACAGAAGAAAGAGGCCATGCAGACCAGAGGAAGGCGCCAGCATCTGCCCTCAGTTCTGACATTGCTGTTTCCATTTATGCATTTCCATCTCCCATCTCCGCCTATCCGACAGTATTGCAGCAACTTACTCAGCCCCAGATTCCCCATGACACGATCAGCATGTTCTAATGTGTGTCCATGGGCTCTTCCTTTTCTCTTCCTTCCTCATGTTTTTGAGTCTGACCAATTTCTACTGCTGGTGGCAGCTATGGCCACTTTAGAACCTTTCTTTAGTACACAGGCACTATGCCGTGTACAACTGTTGCGTTAAATAATGTAACGCTAGTTAGTCCTATGTGCAGAATTTGTAGAAAAGTACCTGAAATTTTTTAGTAAGCTTTTAAAGTAGCTGAAATATTTTAACAGGCTCTTTAAAATATGCCAAAAGTAGAATACTAAATCTCATGAAGGATTAAGTTCCTTAAATAGTTTTGTTTAAAAAAAATCTGTGTATATTTATATTAGTAAAATATAGATACAGAGTATAGATAGCATATATATCTAATATAGAATAGTAGTAATCACTGAATAAAAGGCAGGACTCTTGCTGAGAGATGATAATCATGAAAGTAACTATTTATATTTTCTTTAAAAATTTGTTCTCTGATAGATCATTTCTTCTTTAACTCCATAATAAAACTTAGCAACCCAATGGCTTATTTCAACTGTGTAGCAAAAATTCCTTCTCACTCTAAATCAAGAAGCTATTAAAATGTCCAACATTTGTAACTGTCCAAGCTGTCAACTGAGTTTGGATCAGAGCTCACTACTTGGAGGAATTTAGATTCTATGTGGTCCCTTTTAGGCCAGTGCATCTCAATCCTCACTGCATTGTTAAAACTACCTAGAGATCTTTTAAAAATCCCAGTGCTCGCGCTCCACAAAGACTGGTTTCAAACAAGAATATAAATCATGCATTAGCATTTATATAAACCTGGGTTATTCCAATGCATAGCCAATGCTATGAATTCATGCTGTAGGCAGTAGCTGAAGAATTTAGCATTGTCCAGACTGCTATATCCAGCTCTAAATAGTAAAAGCCCATACTTTAGTGTAACTCCTTAGTCAGGAGAGGAAATAGGTGAGTTAGGAGAGGACTGAAATACTATGCAGAGTTAGAGGTCTAGTTTTTGGCTTTTTTGGGATACTTACATTTTGAATTTCTATGCTATGCTAAAGTTTGGGTCAGGCCACTAAGTGATCCAACTATGTGAAAATACAGAACATAAAGAGGAACACCAAGCCTCCAGGTCTGAGGGGGAGTCCTCCTGGATCCTTCTGCCCATTTCACCTTTGAAGCCCTTGCAGCCTCCTGGGGACCTCATGTAAAATCTGTGGCAGAACTACCTAGCCAAATCCAGTACAGACTGAAAAGCCAGAATGACATAAGATTATCATTATCTTAAGACACTGTTTTAGGCCAAAGAGATATATAGCAACAGGTGACAATTATTTACTGTAGTTTCCTATCCCATCCATAGCGTCCACTGTGACTGCCACTAAAACTACACCAGCAAGTGCAAGAACTAGAAATACAAGTGAAAGATTCTCATTCAGAATTCAGCCATCATGAACTGGACCACTCCTTTACTAGTCAAATAAAATCCCTGAACTCTAGATATCCAACCTATGTTTCTTAATATCAGCTATATTCTGAATCAAAATAGACAGTTTTGTTCCTTAACAACAGATATCAAAAATCATTAAAGAAAAAAAAAAAACAGCTAGGCATAGAAGGTTTCTAAACAAAGAAATAAAATTCACAAAATCTGTGTACTTTCTTCAGAGGTGAGAGGCTCCCTCCATCAGTGTGCTCTAATTTTAGATAGTTCTACCTTAACATGAATTTTTGGATTTCTGGCCATATTTGACTGGGTGGATGATACACTGGAAGTACATTAAAACTTAATATTAGACAAGTAAAAAGTTTAAAAAAGACAAAATCTAATAAAAAAACAAATATTCAACTGGAGAATTTGGAGCGATTTGATGTAGATATTTACAGCCCTTTCACCATGGGAAGCCATAGTACTGAAATACAATACCAAGACCAATTAACTACCAGTGGCCTTCCAGAATCAATGAAAGTTTGATATTCTCTATTTCATAATAGTTACACCTCCTAACTTGTAGAATTCTGTAATGGTTATCAATCCAGATAATTTTCTAAGAGGAAAATCACAAATTCTTCATTTTTCATCATTCATATTTGTTCCATATGACCTTAGTCGATCTGACTGCATGAACCTACATGAGAGCAAGAAACTCAGTTTTGCCCTGTTAGTTCATTCCTTTTGCTGGGGGCAGGGAGTGTACAATCTATTATTATTCCTTAAGAATTTGATTCATGATTTTTTTTTTCCATAGTCAACTGAGAAGAATGTCTTCCTTTACCCCAAATCAGACCTCTAAAAATATTTCAAGTCCTGGGTGGATGCTATAGATGGAAGTATGTTAACTGAACCTATCTTTCTTCTACTTACAAAGAGTCTTTTTAAGAACAAAGCTAAAAGAAAGGAAGAATCTCCAAGAGGTGGGGAGAAATACAAAATTCCAGAGAATGCTGAACTCCTGAATCTGATCCTAGCTTTATGTTGTGAATTTCTTGGACAGAGGCAATTTTATAGCTTCCTTTCCACTCATGGTAATTGTAATTATTCTACTTTGTCTTGCAAATAAAGACTCCATACTAGCAGCCCACTTGACAGTTCCAAAAATACTTTCTCATTCAATATCCACTGGTCCTCATAGTAATCTGCAAGGTGATCAGGGGAAGGTTCTCATTTTACTGATGATGATATAGAATCTCCATGAAAAATCCTCTCTTCACTCATACAGAAAGTCACGAGTAGAGACTGAACAAAAATAAGGTTCTCTGCTTTCATCTGCACAGAATTTCTCAGCTTCCTGATGCCATGAAATTATTTTCAAAAACCTTTCATCAATAAGACAGTGTCAGGCCTCAGTTAAAGCAAAGGACATTTGGTTATATGAAGTGCTCCATTTTTCATCCTCACTGGCCAAAGAAGGCAACACAGCTAGGAAGCAGGCCTGCATTATCTTCTGTACACCATCAACACTGAGGGATAACTCACAGAGAATATGCAGAGGGTTTTATATTGGTTACAGAGTGCAGAACCTGAGGCTGAGGAAGGGATCTTTATGCAAATGTTTTATTTAGGGGAGGGCACTTATGAGAATGCAGGACAGGATAGGGGAAGGATCCAAGTGAAGATGTGATGTCAGAGAACATTTAGCCTCAGTTAGTACCCACTGACATCAGAATTATCACCCCTGGAGCAAAAGGAAATTGTCTGCCCCTCCCTTATTCAGTCATGGACTCTGGGCTACCCTGAACTGCAGGAAGAGGAATAATCTTTGCCTTAAAGCACATTTAGTTAAGGTAAGCTCCTGTAGGTTGAATTGATTCTCTCAAAAACAGGTTTTGGAGATAACCACGCTCTTAACAAACCACCAACATCAACTAGTCATTGCCTGCATCAGCCCTATATCAGATGTTTTAGTGGGGATCACAGCATCTAGAAGTTCCAGTGGGGCTTCGCCTGAGACTCTCATTCTGTCCTCAACTTGTGTGCAAACACATTATGTAACAAAGAGCATTTATTTGTAAGTGTCCTTCTTTGCCAGGCTTGTCACCATATGCAGCACTGTCATATCTTTTCCAAGCATTATGTTCTAAAGAAAATGTGGCAGATAAAAATAACATGAATCCAAAATTGTGCATATATACGTACACATACACATGTCTGTGTACAAATTTATATATAATGGATAACATAAACTGTGTATCATAAAGGATATATACACATATTACAAACAAATTAAATTTACCAGATTCCATCGATATGTTGAGAATCAGGTTGAATCACACTTGAACAAAATTCAAGGATTTTGTTGGATTCTGCCTTATCAGTGCATGCTCAGGCTGACCTGCTTCTTGGCAGAGCACTTGTGAGGGCCTGACCTGTTTCTTTGCCCTCACAATGAAATTTTGGCTCCAGTGTCAGTGTTTGCCACACCTTGTAGCTAAGTATTCTCTCAAACCTGCAGACCATAGATCAGGCATTTATAAGTTCACAGAAAGAGGTTGTGGCTATAGGTGGATTTATTTTCTTCCTGCCTGCCTAAAGAAAATGGTAAGGAAATTTATTAGGCTTGGAGAGGATGTTGAAGGGTGGGAATTGTAACTCACATCATGGATTAAAAATTTCACCTTTCCTTATTTCTCAGAATCAAATAAACTCTATTCTCCCGCCCAGTTGATGAAAATTCCTCTCCATTGTTAAGGTATAATTTTCAAAGAGGTAAAATAACTCTATTTCAAATATGAAATGAACATGTGTCAAGATTTATTCAACTCATTAATTACTAAGAGCAACAGTAAAGTGTAAAACCGAGCCCAAAGAGCACTTGAAAAGATTGGTATTTATAGATGAGTTAATAAAGGCAGGTTAGGATGAGATTGCTAGGTTAGATGCAAAACTGGCTAATTTCTAACAAGGTGACAAACCATAACCTTTGAAGTTATCAGTTTTGCTGATCAGAAATAATTTACACCTGTATTGAACAAACATTTGCAAGATAAAATGTAAGCTTCTCTAATTCTGGGACCAGTGATAACAGCAAATTATGAGCTAAAAAAGCATGCATCTTCCTAATCTTTTTACCATGATGCTTATTGCTCAATATGACATTGAATAATAAAGCCACCCTCCTTTAGCCTTATGTTCAAGCTTTGAATCATTATGTTTAATAATGCTCATCACTTCTGTCTGTCTCTCTGTCTGTCTCTGTCTCTGTCTCTCTCTCTCTTGCTCTGTGACAGTGTGTTCCTGTTAGAGTTGTGGGACTTTTGGAATATGGAAAATATTTAAAAGGTCAGCTCTCAGCCCTCTAGGGTACCATCCTTACTACTGTTTCCCTTGAAGCCATCCTCTATTTAAGGCTGCCCAATGGCAGGGAGGTAGATCCCTGGATAACCCCAGTGAGCACCACCTCTTGGTATCCCATCTTTCTACAACCCCTCCTCTTAGATGAGGATGAGATCCGCATTTTTATCCAACCAAATATCACACAGGTAAACTGACTAGCTGATTCTAAGGGAAAGGCAAAGCCCTCAACAGAAGGGCTGAGCCCTTCCTAAGGAGTGCTCCTCTTGCTACCCTGGAAGCAAGACTTCAGCAGCAGTATTCTAAAAGGACTATGTGGCAGAGCACTGCACGTGGCACTTCAGAGATTACAGTGGGCCCCGTAGAGCCAGCAAGAAAAGCTCTATCCCACAACCATCGCACTACATTCTGCCAACATGCGCATGCACTTGGAAGCAGACCTGCAGCTGCAGAAATGAAGACAGAATACTGGCAGAATGGTGGCAGCCTGTGGGTCTCTGCCGAGGGCACCAGCTAGAACTGTGACTAGATTCCCAGTGCATGGACATTATGAAGCACCAGGTAGTTTTTCAGCCACTAAGTTTGTAGCCATTTGCATTCCATAATAGATAACCAATATACTCAAGGGCCTTCCACATAGGACGTACCCAAAGACTTCCCCTGAGCAACAGTTGAAGGCTGGTGCATTCATTCAGCCACCTCCTGCAATCAGGGGAGATACTTTCTATGGTGGACAAGGCAGCCTAGACCTCTGTCAGACCAGAAAACCCTCAGAATTTCACCTTTTTCTTAGCATCACATACTTCACCACTATACTCCTTCCCCTAAACAACTCTTCTTTCTGAACCAGCTCCCTCCTGGATTCCAGGTCCTAACAGTTAGCTCTCCAATTCTCTTCTTGGAACTTCCAATTATAGTCTTCTTATTTATTAAACTTTAAACTCTCTATCAAATATTGGAAGGAGGAGGGAAAGAAAGAAGAGAAATGCTTTAAGGATAGCTGCCACTTTTAGAAAATATACTGCTGGTCCTTTGCTGGAGTGAGGACTGGAAAGAGAGATTCTGGCACATTTATCCTACTACTCACTCAGCTTATTAAAGATAGTTACTCTAATATGCACCATATAAGTGGGCCACAGTGAAGCCTTGAGGGAAAACTTACAAAATAAGTAATTTTTAAAAACACTCTTCTGATGACACACTTTGTATTTCTTATGACTGTAAAAGAGAAAGAAGCCAGAGGAAAAAATATGGAATTAGCATCAATGACTTAAAAATTCAGAGACAGAAGGGGATGAAAATGGTTCAGGTCACAAAAGTTGCCCAGGAGGCATTAAGGAGGGAAGGTTCAGAGATCACCAGGATGGTGAGACCACCTTGGGAAGGGTGAATCCCACCTTTATAGCATCAGTTCCCAAACCATGGGTACATGAGACTCCTTCAGTCCCAGTGTTTGGTCCATGCCCTAGACCATTCATTTAAAACACAATTCAGAGGAACGAAACTCAAATTTTTAAAAAAAAATTATTGCTTTTGGAACTATCAGGTAATTTCAATGGACAGAACCAGGGCTTTCCACATTCTGCTTTCATTTTGCCCAGTTTCTCCACATTAGTGCATTAAGCACACCTGGAATGGCTGGTCACCTTGAGTGCTTGGCCCATTTTCCAGGGATTTTGGACCAGCAGATTGAGGCTGGAGTCTGACAATTCATATGCCTGATAGTCTCCCAGGTGGGGCTGCTGCTGCTGAGCAGAGGAGGATCCTGAGCAGCAAGGGCTGAATGAAATTGCAAGAAATATCAGTGCAAATTTTAGCAAGTGGTTAAAATATTAATGATGCTTGTGATGCATATGACCTGTAGTGTTTATGCAATATTTAGAATTAGCAATTCCAGATTGTGTATTACATTTTAGCTTGTCTTTCTTCCTAAGCAGTACAACACAGACACCAACGGCCTTCTGGGAGAAAGACTTTGCACAAAGACCCCTAGGAGAGATCTAAGTCTTCTGAACATTTAGCCTAATGCAATTGAACTCTGCCTGCACATTGGTGATCCCTGGGGGCCATGTAAATGGTACCAGCATTTGGTCTTCAGTCCTGGAAATTCTAATCTTCTCAGTAGGTGGCTGTATAAAATTAGATTTGCTTCTTTGAGAAGTTTTAAGTTTACAGAAAAACAAGCAGAAAGGACAAGGAGTTCCCATTTACTAGTCTTGCAACGCTCACAGTTTCTCTAATTATTAACATCTTGCAGTGAAATGGTACACTGGTTACCACTGATGAACTAATATTGATACATATTATTAGCTAAAGTGCACTGTTTGCATTAGGATTCACTCTGTGTTGTACAATTCTATGGATTTTTCCAAATCCATGATGTCAGATACCCATCATCATAGCATTATACAGTGTAGCTTCATTGCTCTAATAACCTCCATGTATCCCATGAATTCATCTCTCTTCTCTTACCTCTAAATCCCTGGCAATTCTTTTACTTTTCACTGCCTTCAGCTTTGCTTTCTCTGGAATGTCATGTAGTTGGAATTATAAAATATGCAGCCTTTTCTGACTGGTTGTTTCTCTTAGTAATAAGCACTTAAATTTTCTTCATACGTTTCTGTAGTTTGAAAATTCATTTTTTATTGCTAAGTAATGTCTTATTATATGTATGCATATGTGTCTGTTTATTCACCTATTGAAGGGTATTTTGGTTGCTTTTAAATTTGGGCAATTATGCATAATGTGCTATAAACATTTGTATGCAGGAGTTTCTGTTTTCAACTCATT